AGAGTGGCTATTTGCGCTGTGTTTACCAAAAAGGTCGACCCCCCGATGTTCAGCCTTAGAAGTCCTCAAATTTAACACTGAGCCACTGAACTGCTGGTTATGTACATGTTACTTACAAAGTTCTTTGTTCGAAATAAGCAGCCTAAATTCATGCAGATATAATTAATTACGGTAGTACTTAATAGCAGGGATCGTAATGAAACAAAATGGCGGCCATAAAGATCGTCCTTTCAAAACCACTTTTAAAATATATGAATATTAAAAATGTTTATTTCACAGCATTGGATGAGCAAAACATTTATATGCTATTTCCTTCAAGTTAAGGAAAATTTTTCTTCTTATGTCATATATATAGTTTCAAACAATAATTTGCCATTTTCTCCACAAAATAATGAAGCTACAGAATGCGTTGACCGTAAACAGAGGGATGTGCACAGTCATTTTCGCAAAGAAACGTAATAATTCGGTAATATTCACAATAAAGTTGCAGTTTTCACCGTGTGATAAATGTATCGGAGATTACCCAAATTTAAATTACCTTACTTAGAAAGTGTGAAAATTTTTCTCTCTCTAATGACATGCGTATTGTCATTTATTGCCTTCCTCCAGTTTATTTTTTGTGTCATTTTCTATTTCCGGGAAGAATTCCACCCTGGCATACTGAAAGTTCTTTGCATTTAAACTAAGAGAACGAACACTTAACAAGAAGATAAGTGCGCTGTCACTACATCTTCAATTGTGAAAATGTAAATATATAGAACGTGAATTTCGATCGTTGACTATGGGGATTAAAAACTAGACATGTGTACGTTTTCTTTAAATTTTAAATTAATTGCACTTTTTATATAGTCACTGAAAATATACTGCATATTTAAAACTACTGGAGCAAAACATTTCTTAAATAATTTGAAAAAAAAGGGTAATCACGTTTTTTTGCTTAAGTTATTATATTCAGTTGAGAGCGCGTGTAGGCTCCTAATTCTCGTTTAATTGTTAGTTTAGATTAATTCTCATGTAGTCACGCACACAAACTTTCTTTGTTTTAGGAAGTAACAGAGTGTTAAGGTGTTGGTTTGTTTCTTCAGTATTACATGTTTGATTTTTGCTTGTTATCAGGATATTTCAATCTTTGTTTTAACTTCAAACAAGCTGATAGACAAAAATAAATGCCAACAGATTGTTATGTCAGTCTAAGAACAAATCATTGTTGTAGAAGAAGGCCGTGCTATAGTGCCAGGGGACGTCGTTCCAAAATACCAAGTCTAAGGGCTTAAAGAAGGTTTAGGTCACACTACCAGAAAAATACCTGATTATTATACCATAATAAGGTTAGGTAATAATACGAAAAAAAGACCAGTTAAACGCGCCAGAAGAAGAGCACGACATCATGAAATTTAGCATGATGACCTGTTTTATCTTTAACAGAATGACCTGGCATTTTTCTGGTACAACGACCTAGTCTTCTGGCATGATAGCGTGTTTTGTTTTTGTTTTTCTAACATGATAACTTGCCATTCTTCAGCTAGGTCGTTGTACCAGAAAAATGCCAGGTCATTCTGTTAAAAACAGGTCATCATGCTAGAATACTAGGTCGTTGTACAAAAAAGAAGGCAAGGTCATACTGTTAAAAAACAAACCGAAACAGGTCAAAACGGCCAGAAGACAAGATGGTCGTAACAGAAATAGGCTAGGTAAACCTATTAAAAACAAAATCAAAGCAGATCTTCAAGTCAGAAGACTAGATGATCGTAACAGAAATAGGCTAGGACTTTGTACTAAAAGAAGACAAGTTCATGGTATCAGAAAATGGTTAGATCATTGTGGCAGAAGAAATTCAAATATCAATATTTATAATGATCTGTCTTGGAAAAATCAGAATATTTTAAAACTTGTAGGTTCGAAGAAAAATACAGTATTAAGCATTGAAAACATTTGATATTATAGACCGCTAAGCCAGATAAGCAATTGAAAGTATTAAAATTATCAGTTTTTAATACTTGATACGTACTTTTTAATAGAAACATTTCAAGTAATATAGATACATCTGATAAGCAAGTATTTTAGATCTTTGTTTGTTTATTTTTGAATTTCGCGCAAAGCTACACGAGGGCTATCTGCGCTAGCCGTCCCTAATTTAGCAGTGTAAGACTAGAGGGAAGGCAGCTAGTCATCACCACCCACCGCCAACTCTTGGGCTACTTTTTACCAACGGATAGTGGGATTGACCGTTACATTATAACGCCCCCACGGCTGAAAGGGCGATCATGTTTGGTGTGACGGGGATTCGAACCCGCAACCCTCAAATTGCGAGTAGAGCGTCCTAACCACCTGGCCATGCCGGGCCTTTAATTCATGAATAACAGTTCTCATCGCACAGAAATATAAATACGTGATATCTTGGGTACAGGCGAGTTTCAGAGAAATGATCAGGCCGTTGTTTCCTTTCTCATTTTGGTCTTATGTATTTTACTTGGAAAACGTAATGCCGTTTACTACAAGCTTGAAAAAGGCTTTTAAATTTTAATATATATAGGTTACAAGTACTGAAAATGAATATTGAAATGTTGATTTTGGTTTGGTTAAAGCTAAATAAAGGTTTCATGTTGGAATTTCTCGAAAATTACTTATTGAACTTACTAATTTCTAAAATAGCCGTTAGAAACTAAGACCCATTTAAAAGCTGTAGAAACCTACGTGCTTTGTTGAGAAAAAGGGGAGTTTTGTTTGTAAGTTTTCTCTGAGTTCACGTATGTCTTCCTTTCGTTTTCTCTGTTACTATATGTATTTGGCATTTAAGTTTTGCTCGGGGAAAGTCTTGGTGAAGCTATAAACGCAAAAAAAATTTTCGCAACGATTTTTTTTTGTTTATAAGGATAATTTTAACACTGAAAATGCTCATGAGAAGAGACACGTACAAAACGTAGCAACATGATGCAGTGTCAAAAAGATAACCCGTTATCTTTCTCTCTCTATATATATACATATATGTGTGTGTGTGTGTGCGCGCGCGCGCTTTTATATCTTAAAGAGTCATGATAATACATAAGATTTCGTATCGAATGGTGGTAGATATATTCTTAATCATACCACGACAACAACATTATGCTGCTCGGCAACACGATAAGTTCTCATCTGTTAGTGGCACAGCGGTATGTCTGCGGACTCACAACGCCCGAAAACGGGTTTCAAAACCCGTGGTGGGCAGAGCACAGCTAGTCCATTGTGTAGCTTTGTGCTTAACTTCAAACAAACAAACTGTTGTAAACCTAAGCTTCTGAAACTCATCAGACGATTTTCCCTCGATAATACTTTTAAAGATATGTTACTTTTTTGTTTCTTTTTACTGAGCTGCAAATTGGATTTCTATGATAAACACACTTCAACATGTTAACAATTCGCTAAATTTATTATATCTAAACTTAATACAATGGAGTTTGTTAGAGCAAAGTCACATTGGGCTAACTAATGTTTCCAGTACGGAGATTCGAACCCCGGATTTTAGCATTGCAAGTCCGTGGACTTATCTCTGTCTCAACGGGGGACAATACAAGAGAGAATTTAATTCTGAAATTTTGTTTACTTGTTGTTAAGCACAGGCATATCTAATGGGGCTATCCGTGGATATCGCAAATCGATTTGTAGCGTTATAAGCCCTCAAAGTTACCGCTGAGCCACCGAGAAACAGTTCTCAAATTGAACTATATATATATTTATTTCGTGAAAGATGCACATTATAGGAATCAACTTTCTCCTCATTTTCAATGTGATTGTGAAATATATTTTATATGAAATTCGCTCTTAAAAGCTCAGGCCTAGGTAGGGCACATGACTTACAACCTGCGTGTCGCGGGATCGAAACCCGGCACTGAATATGTTAGCCCTTTCAACCGTTGGGGCGTTATAATATGATGTTTAATCCAACTTTTCGTTGATAAAAGAGTAGTCAGAGAGTTAGCGGTGGGTAA